AATTACTATTGGAAAATGCTTATCATTCCTCTGTAGCATCTGGTCCCCACTGGACCCTCATCATTTCCTTCACCTGCTCCCCCCACCGACCAAACTGTGCAGCTCTGCAACTGCATCCTGTCCCATCCTCACCCTTCTGCCCCCAATCCTTACCTCCTTGTACCCCCAATATGTTTTTCCCAATTAAAAAAAATATTAAAAAAGAAAAGAAAAAAAATTCTATTTGGCTGCTAAAGAAAGTAACAAAACCTTATGGGACCACACTCGTAGACATGTTTGGATGTGAACATAGCTTCTTCGCAAACAAGTGTTTTTTTAAAAATTTAGGGGAAAAAAAGGAACGCTTCATGAATTTGCGTGCTATCCTTGCACAAGGACAAAGCTAACTTTTCTGTATCATTCCAGTTTTAGTATATGTGCTGCTGAGGTGAGCACCAAAACCACTATCTTATTGGACACTGTCTGAACAATTGTTGTGTGGCATCTATCTATGTCTCTCTATCAAGATATATAATTTTTACATAAAAATTAGAAAACCGATACATACTCCATTATTTTTCCTCATCTTTCACATACATACGTTAAAAATAAAATCCCAGTTAGAGAAATATATTATTTAAAAAATATAGTAACAAGATGTAGAATTGTAAAAAAAGACGTGAAGAACATTCAGTTCTGCCAAGTAACAACTATTAAGACTTTAGGGTACTTCATTTGTAAAATGAAGGGTGGGAACTAATGGTCTTCATATGACACCTTTTTCCAAAGGTGTCACCTTTTTTAATTTAATATCAACATCTAAGTCCCTAAGGAGATTCTTACTGAAAACTCCCAACAGTTTTAATAAAGATAAATCCTTCTATGAAATAATGCTCTCACACATAAGGCCTTCATCTAGGTGTATGAACAAACTGAAGCTGAGGCACCTACATACTTGTTTACTGATATTTCCTCAACATTATCTTTTAACAGGTGAAAACCAATTTTTGTTTTTTGCAAAGATTGATACATCTTCTATTATTCTAATAGAATAATTTTTCTCATGCTGTCAAAATGGCCTAGGGGTGGGGCGTGGGAAAAGGGCAGTGGTTTTTGTGTGTGTGTGTTTTTCATGTTTATTTGTGCTTTAGGCAGTGGTTCTTTAAAAGTGAACCATTGTCAGAACACATATAGATATGACAGGAAGTGAATCTTTTTTGAAGATTTATATGAAGTTAATCTTTTCACTAACACACAGAGGTTTTGAAAATAATCACCATGAATTTTACTTGAAGCATGCTACAGTAAGTACATGCTCTACAGAAATATTCACACGTCTTTGGTGTGAACTATCTGACCACATGGAGGCTGATCAGATTAAGATTTCTAACTTGGCTCCTGTTATGCATCAGAGAGTTGGACAATGACTAGGGA